CAACTGTGGTGTACCCATAACTGCTATATTGGGCTGCAAAAGGGTTAACATTTTTAAATTTATTGCCTTCCAATCGGGAGTCTTATTAACTGCACTGAGATTCTGATCCATTCTTTCGGACAAAATTTTCCAACTTTTTCAAACTGGATGTGCAGTCTGTAAATCATACAGGAGGATCGATGTTGGATTGAGGTCTAGGTCTGACTGGACCATTCCAGGACATTTACCAGTTYCTCCCTAAACCACAGCAGTGTTGCTATAGCAGCGTGTTTTAGGGTCACTGCCTTTTCTGAGGTGCTTCTCAGATCAACTCGTTTTGATTCTGTCTCTTTAAATCCAAACGAGGTGTTTCACACCTGCCCCCTTCCAGCTTTCAGAGTGGTCCTTTGCAGTTTGATAGAGGGGTTTACAACACTAAAGTGGCACAGAAACTATTTATTTACAAATTATTTTTTTCACTTCAGTAGAAAAAAAGAACTTAATATTATAGTTTCTTAATTTCTTTATCATCAGTGATTTTTTTTTTCAAATTAATTAAAAGATGTCAACAAAGGAAGACTTGTCCATCCAGCCTTACATGTTGGAGCCAGGGTCTGACCCACAGCCAGAGGAGAATGAAGACAGCCAAATTGTAGTTGATAAGTCCAGACCTTATTTGGCAGTTCTGTTGCAAATACTGTGACGTAATAGTTCAGAAAACATCATAGAACATAGAAAAACTGAACGGGCTGAAAAATATGGCCCAAACAGAAAACAAAAGATATCTATGCAGCACCGGGTGAAACTAAATTAAACTTTTCTGCACTCCTAGAGACTCCAAGTACACAACAAAATGTATTTAACGGATAAAAATGTGGTTTTGTATGATATGTCTCTTTAGTCACAGTCTCAAATCTCTGGAAGACTTTAACAGGTTGCTTTCAACTTTTATTTTAACACCCCCCAGCATGATGCTGCCACTGCCATCCTTTACTGCAGGGATGATCTAGATTTGCAGCAGATGTGGAGTCATCTTTGATGACCAGTCAAGTCAGCCTGATCTGAACTTCTTCCACACRTTGTGTTTAGGAAATAAACTCCTTTCCGTCTTGGCATTTCTTCTAYAAGCAATGTTTTTCCCTGCCACTCTTCCATGAAGCCCAGCTCTGTGCAGCTTRTAGTGGTCTGACAAACAGATCCCCCCATCTCTGCAGAAGAGCCGCACAGCTCCATCAGGGTTATCTTTAGCCTCTTGGTTGCTACTCTGATTATTKCTCTCCTAGCCTCCTCTGTGAGTCTTGGCAGGTTTTCTGTAGTGGCATTTTTCATGACTTGTATACCCGCAGACACGTTGTTGGCACATTGCATCACAACTGTTTTTCAGTGGCCGTATTACAGCACGGCTGGTGTAAAACCACAGGCGATTGGTCAACGACAGAGATCGGAAGCGAAGTGTGGCCAGCTAATGATTGTCCGTGAGAGATGTCTTGACGGCCTGACCACAGCATTACCCAAGAAGAAGCAATGGTTTGAAACTAAAACTATTGTATTGCTTGTTTGCTCTTCTTACAGGCYTTGTAACATTTAGAATGAGATGATAATCAACGAGAGAATCATGCTTTTCATCCATAGTGACATTCACATCATCTAYGAGGCTTTAAACAGTTAAAAGAAAGGCTATTTTTAGTCAAAAAGTGTTTTGCAGAAGGAGATAAGCTTCAGGGTTTATGTGTGGGAATAACACATTGCAAATGTAATTGTGACTCTCCCGTCGTCAGCTGTTGTCAACACAATCAAACGGCAGCGCRAACGGAGGTGAGGTGAGCTAACGCAGCCCGCAGCAATCAAGATGGTGGTGACTCCGAGATAAACAGATTCCRTCAAGGAAGAAACGACTGTCTGGGCTTCAGATTAAATATTCAGCACGGTGTCCGCTCTGACTCACAATTCCATATTCAATCCGAGCAGCTGAGTGCCACGCAGCGGAGAGACGCAGAGAGGAGAGGAAGGAGCAGGTATGACAGTTCAAAAGCAAATGACAGACAAGGGAGACGGAGTTGTTTGATGTTGTAGGCATAATGGGGGCGGGACGTAGGCCTAGAGGCAAGAATGGGGTTAGAGAAGCGAATGGGATGGACACATTAGGGAAGAGACAGAAGCAGGGAGAGATCTTAAAAAAAAAGAAGAGCCRAGCACGGAGAKGCGACATGACAGGAGAAAATGGTTGTTTATAGAGAGTGGTGTGGAGAACAGACGCAACATCACTGACATGACAGATGAGGAACAGAGGCAGGAGAGAAGACACGGGTTTGAATGAAAGGTATGACAGAGGARAGGCAGATGACATTGAGATGGTAAACTTCAAACAACAGACATGCAGATGAGGGACAGTATCTATGGGCAAAACGGGGATTTGAGTGACGAATCTGATGGGATTGAAGCAGAAACTGCAGGAAAAGCGGTGCTCGGTGTCATGATATGACAGTACAAATGGTGTAATCTGCAGACGATGAAAGAAACAGCGGAAAAGGATGAAAATAGCTGTCTGAGCTGGACCTAAATAGCATAACTGAATACATCTGCACACAGAAACGCAATGTCCATTTTTTTGGTTATTTGGACATTTTCAGTATCTTCACTTTTTATTTTTGCTGGTACTCAGTTTTTGCTGTACAAAATAAAGAAAATTACATGTTCAGAATTAGCTTTTAACTACTAATCTTCTTGTTTCGCTTCAAAAAATGAAGTTTTGAATCTAAAAAAATGGATTGCAAAGCTGATTACAGTCGTACAATTTATCCCTCATCTCCAACACAACCATCAGATCTGCAGCCTTTTGAAAATAAATCTGTAAAACATTCAGCTCATCCATCTTCTATTTGCCACAGTGACAGCTAAACTATTATGCTGATCAATCAACGTGAGCCATCACTTTTTGCCTAATAAGTTACTTCACTGTCACTGCAACCATGCAGTGAGTGATGGGGCAATCAGGAGGTAAATCTTAAGAGGAACGAACTGCTGGTTTGACAAGCAAATGAACTGAGGCAAGAGCAATTGGGATATTGATAAATAACTGCTGAAAAGTCAACTAGCGGACTGTCGGAYTGATTTGTTTAGCTGCCAGAGTGGGATTTATACTTCATTATTTTATTCCTCCCTCAATTTTATTCTCAGTTCTGTAAGGGCAAATAAGAAAATCCAGGAATTTTTTTTTTCAAAGCTGAATCATAGGCACCTAAATTCAGGCACGAGATGAGTCAGCTAAAGACAGTGATAAAGGTCTGYGTAGTTAGATAAAGTTTCAAGTGATCATTAACATAATTATTCCTTAAAGTTGGGAGTGTCCAGTTATGGCTTTAAATGGGACTTACTTAATATTARTTTAYGAAGCAACAACTAAAGTGCAAATTTAAAGCATAATCCTGCTCTGTTTATTATGTGCTAATGTGAAGCACTTAAAGCAACATTTTCTAYATGTTAGTTTATTTAATCACAGACAATTACTGTTAAAAGCATTAACRTCCTGACCATACAAATGTGTTTTCATAGTAACATCACAACATCTTACCATAAATGACATTTATATATTATAAAGACTTTAGTGAATACATAAAGTTTTTATTTTTAGCGACGAGAAATCAATTTCCATGTAAGCAGCAAGCGGGTTCATATATCTGATTTCACTCCTGTAAAAAGAACACTTGAACAGTGTCCATTTCAAGAAACTTTTTTTTTTATATACTTGAAGAAATGAGCACTTCTTGTATGAACAGCTTCTGATAAAGAAAGTAGCCCTAGAGGTTAGACATAAAATGAATAAAATAGGCATTTATTTATTTTATTTTTTCCAAAAATAACCAGCTTATATCAGAGCTTTGTAAACACGTAAGGCAATAAAAATGTAAAGGTTAGTACAAAGGAGTGTGAAGTCCTGTAGACATTTTCTAAACTTGATGTTTACAAAGTCAGAGCATTCTTACCTTGACCAGCTCCTTCTGTGGCCAGATTTGAATTGGCTCGACTTGCTGAGGCGTCTGGGTCTGAATGCCATAGGTGTTCAAAAACACCTGCAGTCTACAAACACACAAAGAAACATAGCTGCAGTCTATTGTGCCTTATGTATCAGATTAATCAGATATTACTCATGAACTACTGAACAAAGTTTGTACACAACGGTTGATTCAGGTTGCAGCAGTTGCATGTTGGACTTCCTGTAAATTTTAAAATAAAGGCCCATCAGTTTAAGTTGCATTTAATGATATTTGAACTTTTGTTTTGAATAGTTTTAATTACCTAAACACAGAAATACTAGTAAAAAGGCAGCATTGTGTTTATCAGTGTGTAATAAGGGGACATATCATGCAAAATCCAGATTTTTAGGCATAAAATGCAGAGGAGTGAAAAAATGTATTAAGCTCTCCTGGTGTAGCATATATGTCTATATTCTTTTTGGATCATATTTTACAATCCGTTAATGTTTCTCTATTTTCTATGATATTTTCTGAACTATTATAACTAATTATTTGCAATGGAACAGGTCTGGACTTACCAACTACAATTTCATTGTCTTCATTCTCGTCTGGCTCTGGGTCCGACTCTGACTCCAGCATGTAAGACTGGATGGGCAAGTCTTCTGTTGTTGACATCTTTTAATTAGTTTGCAAAAAATTGTTTCTGCATCGCTATATAGTAGTAAACCATTCTAGCAAACTAGAATGGACCGCTCTGGAAGATGGAGGGGGCGGAGTGTGAAGCGCCTCATTTGGGTTTAAAGAGACAGCCTCAAAACGAGTTGATCTGAGACACACCTCAGAAAAAGGGGTGAAAGAGGGGATTGCGGAGTTAAGGAGAAATTCAGACCAAAGTATTGCAGTTCCACTTTATAGACCCCCAACTGAGGCAATTAAATGCATAAAAGGATTTAAAAGCATGATATGTCTCCTTAAAATGTTTGCCCAGACTTTCAATGATTTTTTTAATGTACTATTTTGTACATGTATAAAATATTTTGACAGCCTCTGTGCTCAACAGGTGTGGAATCACTGTAACAGAAGTTTTCCAGCTCTAACAGACTGTCTGTGTTTAATCTGTCTCTGGTTTTATAATGCTGTTAATCAATAAAAACAATAGACCTGTTCAAACTGTACAAGTTACAAAGCTTGTTTATAGAAGTCAGTGAGTCCGGAAGCAGAACAGAYTGCTGTGAGATGATGGTGATGATGATAATGCAGGAGTCCTAATAAGAACCTTATCATTAGTGTTAATTGAAACTGGAGGTTGACAAGCTTGACAGACATTTAACCCTCTTTAACACACACACACGCACACACGCACACACAATGAAAAGAGTGACAGATAATGGTGGAGGTCAGGCTGAGCTCAGTGCAATTACAGAGCTGAGGAGAGAGAAGCAGAAAAATAACCTGCCTTTGTGGCCTGTGAAAATGCACACAGAGCATAAAGACAGACAGACACAGACACAGACACTGATTACCTCTGGCTCTCAGCTATCAGGGACACATGAATCACAACATCATTCTCTATGGGACCCTGTGAACAACAAAGAGAGACAGACAGAGGAAAGATTAATGTGAGAGCCATCGTTCTGCTCCATGTTGCACCAGTTGCAGCATCAAGTTGGTTTAATTCGGCCAACACTTAAAACACACACACACCAGAACAAATTAAAACTGTTGAATCCAAACAGATGGATTACAAATGTTCATATTGCTGTACATCTATAGCTTTTTCTCACTCTCATTTGCTTTTATCAGCTACAATATGAATTAGGCAATCATTCCCATAAACCTGAGGCTGCGGGTTCGAGCCCAGGTTGCGTCAGAAAGACAATCCAGCATAGGAGMGAGAAAGAAGATACAGAGATGATGYAGAGAAGGGTGGATAMGTTTTAAAYTCAGCTCACTCTCTTATATAACAATGGGTTTTTGTTATTGCTGCCCCCACCCTTTCCCTCCGTTCACACTTGCTCCAAGTGAAAGTGAAACTCTGAATAACCAATAAAAGTTGACGAGAGACGTGGAGGCACTTAGCGGGTGCACTGGAGAAAAAAAAAATTAGCAAGGACGAGAGAGACAAAGTCAAAGAGAGAGCAAAGATGGTTTCTCCAGCAACCACAACATGAGATGAATTGAAATAACATTAAAAAGACGTGTAGAGTAAGTTCAGAATTTTAATTCTGTCACTGAGCTTTACAATCCATATTCCGCAGTTGATTTTTGCTTGAATTTAAAGTTCTGTGCAACCCATACAGGCTGGTACTAGGTTTGATTAGCTGGATTGATTTTTCTTCAAAATAGTGTGTTACAAAATAGTAAATTACAGGTACCTGCTATAATCACTTCATGTCCAAGGTGGAGAGTGGGTGTGTGCTTACTAGRCTGTGAGAGTTGGCTACTTTCCATTACAGGACCAAAAGCCAAACAGCACAAGCTTTAATACTTTTCAGCAATTTAACAAGGACCAGTATCTGTCTTTTTCATGCCTATAATCAATTAGATTTGTTTGGTTATAAATACCAAGCAGCCTGTGTGGTAGTTGATTAGGCTACCTGCATCTGATTTTTATTAGGTCTGCTTGTTTGCAATCCCATGATAAATTGCTCTGCTCAAGGTAGACTGCTTCAGGTATAATTGAAACTAACAGGTTGCTTTTGTTTTAACAAAGCTGCGTGTTGTTAATATAGCAAACACAGTGYTTTTTATAGATTAAGGTTGACAAGAAAAAAAAACTAAATGTTTGGTCTACTGTTCAGTTTTACCTATAGGAAACTGTATTGGTACACGATAGACAAAAACACTGTAGAATTGAAATGGTACAGTGTCAAAGTAATGATGTACAGATGTACAGAGTCAGAAACTGTACATAACCAATCACTTATGTCATCTGGAGTATGATCGCTGGGTGAACAATAACACACACACACACACAAAAAACACAAATATACACAAAAACTCACAATAGTTTCAAATTTGTCAGTTGAAATATCCTGATGCATCTCAGTAATCCAGGTAGAAAAAAAATAAGTAGGTCCTCTGGATGGGTTCTTCTTTAGTGAAACGTTTCGTCTCTCCTCCAGGAGACTTCTTCAGTCTGATCACTTTCAGGTGAACTCAGCCTTATAAACACTGCCTCCACCTGGACAAACAGGTTGGTCACATGCAAAAGAGGGTCATCGCCTAACAATAGGCTTGATTAGTTCTATTGTTCATAGAGGGTCATGTGCCCCATCATCTGATTCGTGGCGTGTTATGTGTAGTGAATGCAGGCGGGGCTCAACGTCCCCTTGTTTTTCTCCCTCTTTCCCTTTGTGTTGGGTATCATTGGGGCCCCGATTCACACCTTTTGCTCACGGGGGCTGAGTCACACTTGCAAAAACAGCATTGTAGGCAGTGCTTATAAGGCTGAGTTCACCTGAAACTCATCAGACTGAATAAGTCTCTTGGAGGAGAGGCGAAACTTTTCAATAAAGAACCCACCCAGAGGACCTACTTATTTTTTCTTTTTGATCAGTTGGAATATATTTTCTAAAACACACACACACACTGCAGCTGACGCATCTGAGCTCTCAATAAGAAAATCCAACCAGTAAGTGGTTGGACTATACCAGGGGGTCAAACTCAGTTACAAATTGTTTTATGTAGCATTTACCATATTTAACCTAACATAAACAAAATAAGAAAAAACAATTTTTTAGAAAGACTTGTCTTTAACATTAATTTCTTACAACTTACTCTCAATCAACAAYGTTTTAATTGATTATAGTTTAACATATTTTTATTACAATCCTGCAAATCAGGCATAAAAGGAAAACCCTCACTAAAAATATCAAACAATTTGATTTTAAAATAGGTAAAACACATAATTAAAGTCAATAATCTTTTGCTCTTTTCACACCAAAATCAAAAATAGCTGAAAAATCCTAATTTTATTTTCTCAGCTTGAAAGTTGTCCAGCTGTCATGAGAAGATGGCACTGAAGTGACAAAAAGAAAAACCATAAAACTGTTTCACAGCTAAAGTATTACCTTTGGAGCCAAACAAAATGTGCCCGCTTTGGACTTGAGTTCGACACGTGGAGTATACTATGTTTGCCATTTGTCACCAATTCTGTTCAGAACCTTYACAGACAGAGTTTTTAAGCTCAACCATGAGGGGTCTCCAGTTTGGGCCGACTGGACCTCCAGCTGGAACTGTAGTGGCTTTGCTGTTAACTGTGAAGCAGTCAGGATAAAGAAAAGTCAATGTCTGAGGCCATGGTCGTCAGGTGAATGAAAGGACAAAATGCCTACTCTAGCTTTAGAAAGAGCAACTGTTCACAATAAGAACTCAAGTTACTCAGGGTCATGTTCATAAATGGAGGCAGAAGAAAGTGGGAGATAGACAGGTGGACTRGGATTGTATCTGCAGTGATGCAGATTCTGTAGCAATGTTATGGTGAAGAGAGAACTGAGCCAAAAGGGAAAGCTCTCTATTTATAAAACCCAACCCTCTCCCATGGTCATGATCTATGGGAAAAGATCATAAGAATGAAACTATGAATACAAGCTGAAATACAGCTGAGATGAGGATCCTCTGAAGAGGGTCTGGACCCAACCTTAAGGATGAGGTAAGGAGTGGTTATTTAGGAGCGTATAATTACTGATCCTCCAGTGGAGGAGGTTTGAACATCTGGTAAGAATGCTCACTTGATATCTTCTTAGGGACGTGTTTTAGATGTGCCACGCTGGGAGAAGACCTCATGGCAGAACCAGGATTTGCAGGAGAGATTTTATTTTACACCTGACCTGGGAATACGATGGAATCCCTCTGGATGAGCTTCAGATGGAAGCATTASAGAGATGCATCAGGACATTAGATAGGGAGCTTTAGAGATCTTTGCTTAAGCAGCTGCCCTGGTGACCCAGTCTCCGATAAGTGGGAGTGTACGGATGGATGAGTAAAAGTGTTGAAATAAAACAAACCTTGACTATCAGATCTGTTAAAAAAAAAAATCAACAATTTCTGTGTCCTTTCACATTTATAAAATATTTTGACTGGTGCTTCTTTTGTATGTGAAAGTCTTCATTTTTTGTCTTATCCCTCAGATTTTGGGTTACAGATATTTGAATGACTTTCTTGCTCTCTGACAGGTRTACTGTTAGGTTTTCTCTGTGTCCTTCAGTGTCTTTTATCTTTTTGCTCTATTTTTTTTGTTTGCAGCAGCAGTCCCATTTCAAGTAAATTGTAGGCAGAGCCGATCATCACTGCACTGAGTATTCTGAGCAAGACAGAAGTGTGTGGAGCAGCAGCCTCATCTTGCTTTCAGAGGGAATGTTCACCCACACAGACACAAACATACYGATACAAATGCACATATACAAAATCATGGCAACTTCTAGAGTCAGTAGCAAAGGAACAGAACAGAAGAATAACACTGGCAAGCATGCACCACAGTTTGACTAAAAGAAAAAAAAAAGAAAAACATCCATCATTTAATTCAGTTGATAGGAGATAAATTTACCTAGAACATTTAATAGACCTGGTAAGTTAAAACAAAGGCAACCAGACTTCTTTTTGATGTTTGAAAACGTTTTACTGCTCATCCAAAGAGAAAATGACAGAGTTCAGCATTTTTAAATTGAAGTGAGTTGAGAAAAATGTGGAAAGCATGTACTCCAAAGATAACATYTTTGTGAAGTTAAAACCAAATAACAGACAGACAAAACCCCTCAAACTGAGGCAGAGTGGTAATGTGTGAGCAGTTCAGTGCAGTGAGAACCTTTTGCAGTGCACCTTGAAACTACTCTTGAGATACGGACGGTTGGAAACTGGCGTGTCTCGTAAGCCCACCCACACAGACCAATATTTGCGTTTTGACTCCCACCACCCACTGGAA